TCGGCAAGTGGAAGCCCCGGGGACTGAGCCGTCCCTCCCTCAGTGGCTGGTGCGGAGGCGATAGGCAGATTTAGGGCTTAATGGTTTCAGCCACAGGACTTTGAGGGCTGTCTTCAGACTAAACTTTCAGGGAGATCAGTGGCCGGCCAGCAGGCAGCCTGTTGCGCTCCGTTCTGGAGTTACGTGGGTTTGTATCCTGCCTCAAGGAGGGCCAGATCACTGGGACTGGTTGCGGGGTGATTATTGGTTTTTCAAGCACCAGAATGTCTTAGGGCCTCTGTGTGTGTGTGTGAGAGCGAGAGCGAGAGCGAGAGCGAGAGCGAGAGAGAGAGAGAGAGAGAGAGAGAGAGAGAGAGAGAAGCAACACAATATTTAGAGCTACATATTTTTAAATCACTCTGGTAGTCCACCATTCCTGAATATTTCTGACTATCTCCTTAGTGGAGCCAGGGCTCCTTGGTTGCTTTGTGGACGTGCCATTTTACGTCCCTCCCCCATGTAAACACACCTGCGCACACGTTACGTAATAAATCGCCACGTACTGGGTCATGCCATTGGCCCAGGCTGTTCAGTATTGCTCAGGATTTCAAGCAGCAGCCTTTCCCCGGCTGGCCTTGAACCCGGACCCGTCTGCGTGTGAAGCAGGGGCTCTGTCGGGGAGCTCCAGCCCTTCTCCAAAGCACGGCCAAGAATAAAATAAAGGAAGAGCTTGGAGAGCAGCTGCTGAGCTTTGCATTGACCTTTTGTATGTCAGCAAGCATCTGTCCTGCCTGGCACATGAGTTTGGAAAGCGTGCATAAATGCGCATGGCCGCCAGCCCATACGCGTCCTGGTCGCTGGAAGCTTTAGAATAGCCTCCCCCAGTCTGCTGCCTTGTGGATCTCTTGGGTTGCAGCTCCCATCAGCCCCGCTCCGCATGGCCACTGCTCTGGACCGCTGCGTATTGTCACCCAGTGCATCTGGTTAGGGGATTCTGGTGTACTTTTTAGCTTGACCTCCTGAACAGTTTCCTTGTTGTTTAGTTGCAAAGTCATGTCCGACCCTTCATGACCCCATGGACAACATTCCTCCAGGCTCTCCTGTCCTCCACCTTCCCCCGGAGTCCACTCAAGCTCACGCCGACTGCTTCAGTGACTCCATCCAGCCACCTCACCCTCTGCCGCCCCCTTCTGTTCCCAGCGTTAGGGTTTTCTCCAGTGAGTCCGTCCTTCTCATTAGGTGGCCAAAGTATTTGAGTTTCATCTTCAAAATCTGGCCTTCTAAAGAGCTGTCAGGATTGATTTCCTTTAGTATTGACTGGTTTGATTTCTTTGATTTCTTGAGCTGTTTTATCCAGATGTAAATTTTGCTGAAACGGGGGGAGCTACTTCTCAGTACATGTTTTCAGATTCTCATCTTAGTCCTCAACGGAGCCAAATGATCTTGAATCGCTATCATAAGTTGGCTTAGTGGGGCTGCAGATGAGTTCTACCCTAATATAAGCTTGAAACCCTTGATCTGTATCCTGGTAATCTAGTCTGGGAAATTTGACACGAATCCTGAGGCATTTAATTTACTTCCTTAATTAAATACATTCTGATCCACCCTTCATCCTTGCAGGACGGCATATGAGTATGTTTAAAGTAATATCTAAACCAATATAAGAGGTAAAAGAACTCCTTCAGCCTTGTCTGCCAGTGACAATGTTCACAGAAGCCCGGAATTCGCTGGCTAATTTTGAAATCAGCAGGTGGAATTCTGCCTCCGCTGCCTCTCGCACATCGTTTTCTGCTCTTCGTCATCCCTGTGAGGTTATCAGCTCACAGTAACCTGTGACCTGATAGTCCTGCGAGAGTGGAGGCCGTCACTCGCAGACTTTTCCGCCTGTGCAATTCCTAAAGGTGTACCAGCTTGTGGAAGTATCCAGAGTCTAGACCTTTTGGCTCCTGGGCCATCCATCCCTGGTCCTTCATCCTCCTCTTGGCTACCTGCTTTCCAGTCTTGTCTCCCTCCCTACTTTAACCTTGGCTCTGCTTCATTCGACCTGCCTTCTGCCCTCTTTGTTTCCTTGGGTTCCTGCTTTTCACAGTGCTCCCCACTTTCATGGCCAGTCTCCTCACTGTATGGACCCCACTGACCTGTAAGTTTCTTGGGCGACACCCGTCGGACGAGCTTCCATATGCTCTCCTCGCCTCCTTTCCCTAAGGGTCCTCCTTCTCCTACACTTCATTGAAGTCGATCTTTCTCAGTCCATTGTCTGCCCTGTACCCTCCTTGCTTCGGGCTTCTTGGCCTTCCTCCTCTCCTATATCCCAGTTTGCCCCTATGTGAGATGTTAATCTCAGCCAAACTGACGATCCCCCTTTCCTTCAAAGAAGTTGGACTGTCAACTTTTCCCTTTGCTGAGGCATCCAGTCAGTGCCAAAGGTTTCTCAGCCGCAAGCATAGCACAGTTTTCATAGTCCTACCTACATGGATGTGTAGTTGTATCATTCACAGCGTCGATAATCAAGAAGGAATTCCAGGATGTGTTTATAGTCAATTAAAATTTTTAAAATAGAAAATGCTGTGGAATCTTACATACAAACATTACTCAAGCAAATAAAGAAGCAAACAATAATAATATAATGAATTACCTTCACTCATATCCAGACACTGAACAGAAGAGAGAACAGGGCGACTTATTTTATATTGTTATTTTTTGTATTTTAACTTTATGTTGTGAGCCGCCCTGAGGCTTGGGCAAATGGGGCGGCATAGAAATGTTTTAATAAATAAATTATAATACAGAGTCACAGCTTTTAAAAAGATGGCTGGGCCATATCTTGAAACCTTTCCAGAAAGAACTGACTGATTCCAAACTTTCATGCTGGGTCCAGAATTACAGACTGTTTGCGAAGTACTGGGCACAGTACATCAAGCAAACCTCAAACAGAAAATCTGCCCCCCCATCTATAAACTCTGAGTGACAGAAATAAATATTAGATCTGTGAAATCAAACTGAATTTATTTTCTAGCTGTAAAGTTTGAATTTGTAAATTTGACAGGCTGCTTTTAAAGGGCACAGAGCTCACAAAGTAACATAAAAAAAGAATCCTTCCCCAAACTCAAGCTGAAAGTTACCTGTCACAAGTGGTTAGAAGTCTGCTGTTTTCTCTCCTGAAGCGTGTCCTTTCAGATGTCAGTTTTAAAAGGTTAATGCAGAACAAAAGAACAGTGAAATTAAGCTCCCTTTATATAGGTTTATGTCTTTCCTTTTTAAAACAGCAGGTTAGGAGAGCAGAATACCAGGCCTGAGCTCTGAGCGTGTGCGTTTCCAAAGCCCTCTCTTTCTGTTCTCCATCTTGGTGGCTGCCTTGGGAGCGGCACGGCAAAACCCTTGGTCTTCCCACTGATAATTCAGAACCTCACTTAGTGAAAGAGTCCAGCTTGATCCCGAACAGACGTGCAGGAGTAAACTCTGCCTTAGACTTTACACAGTGGATTAATTCCATCGACACTGGCACTACTTCTCGGTGTGGAGAGAATTGGGCATTTTCAAACCATGGTCCCCACTAAGTGTAGCATAACCCTGCCCCTGAAGTAGATTTGCCACGACGGAGGACCCTGGATAGCTACGGTAAAGCTCGGAATAAAAGCTGGAGTGGATAAGGAGTTCCATGCGCAAAGCAATCGCCGGCCTTCCCTGAGTAAATCGAGCGCTTCCTATCTAGGACACGCAGGGGGGCATTTTATTTATTTATTCCTGGGGGTTGGGCTTGGAAAGGTTATCACAAACGGACCAATATTCACTCACCTGGTGACCTGCGGATGACTGTGGGGCGTCCCCAGAAAAGGGCCATATTTTGCAGGCTTGTTCTTTTCCCAAACGCCACCCCCCCCCCCCCGCCCTGCTGACCCAAAATTTAAGAGAGATGTTCATGGCCAAGAAAGGACAGCTGTTCAGGGATAGAAACCTTTGGGGCTTCTCCCTTCCCCACGCCAGGCTTCTGGGGACACCAAGAAGAGCTCAGTGAAGCCAGTATAACCAGTGCCGACAACTAACCTGTAGGGCAAACCATATCTTTTGCTTGCCCGTAACTTGCTCTGCGATGAACTCCTGCGTGGTTCTGTGTGGGGGGCATGAGAAAGATGCTGTTCCTTCAGATCCAGACGGGCTCGACAAACTTGGCTCCGAAGTGGACTTACCAGGTGGAACGGTGACCCCCCCACAGTGAGGAGCAGAAGGGGGACTTGTGGGGTACGGTGAGATAGACAGGACTCCTTCCGACGTTCTCGCCTCCAAGCTCTCACTTGAAGACGAGGTGCTGACGGAAATAGCTATCCACCTTTGGCCGGGAGTGTGCTGAGGAGCCATTTGCCTGTGGAGGCATCTTTCAGGGAACTTCAGCTCTCAGAGTGGAAGGCGCAGGGGCGGGGAGCCCGAAAAGCAACAGGCTGGAGAACATAAAAACCGAGCAGTTCAAGAAAAGTGGATGAACCTCTGTCCACTTGCAGAATAATAAGAGGTTAAGAACCATATGGTGAATTTTGGGGTGTTAAAGGGCTGTCTAGATAATGCAGAATTTAATTTCTTTTTTTTTTTTTCACAGCGACAAGACCCTCACACAAACTTTCTAGTTTATTTTTATTTATTTATTTATTAAACCATTTCTATGCCGCCCCATTCGCCGAAGCCTCGGGGCGGCTCACAACATGAAATTAAAATACAAGAAATAACAATATAAAATAAGTCGCCCTGGCCAGATAGTTTGCAAATGAAAACTTGGTTTTCATGTATGAATGAAGATAAGCCTAGATCAGCTTTGAAGCAGCTTCCCGATATGAATAGCATTTATCCCTAGACTTATGAATCCTTGAGTGTTTGCTGGATATATTTTATTACTGACTTTAGCCACAGCAAAAGAAAGCATATGGTGGCTGAAGAACCATTTTGTGTTTTGAGGATTACTTGATAAAGTAATTAGTGTCATTGCGCTTTGTCTTTTAAATGGAAGTTCTAATGTCCTGTAATTTCTCCAGGTGGAGCTGAAGAGGAAATACAATGACCAGCACTCCAAAGCAAGAGGCCTTTTACCGGGTAGCCAGTGGTACGAAATCCAGGCCTACCGGGCTCTCAACCAAGCTCTGGGCAGGTCGGTAGAACCAGGCTATGAAATGATACATAAATTTATAAGCTCCTTTGCAATGCTTCCTGGCCAGCCTTAAACAATAGGCACTCAAGCTGCTTTTTGCTGAACGCATTGTAAAGCCAAAGATGCGTCAGAGCCATGCTCTGGACACCTCCTGCACTGCCCTGAGGAAGGACTTGCCCACTCCTAAAATGGCTGCCTGTTTACAAAAAAGTGGTTTCTCGGAAGGAATGGAAAAACTAAAAGGAAAGTCCGTAGCCCAACAAGTGTATTGCAAGGGGGGGGGGGGAGGTCTGAGGTTCAATGCACGAAATCACTCCTTTGAACCCAAATAAAGATGATGCAGGAGGAGAGTGGCATAAAGATGGGCGGGGAGCCTGGCAGGCCCCAGAGCAGAGTCCGCAAACTCCTCGGGGTTCCAGATACGGGACCCCAGGCTAATAGCGCCTTGGCTTCTGTGTCTTGCGGCTAGCGACATAATCTCAAAGAAAAAGGCTGTCTTGAAGGAATTGCCTTGAAAACAGAGTTTTTGCTAAATCTGGATAGTCTTCCAGGGCTGTGTCAAGCAGCCTGGTTTACCAAGATGTCAAAAAGTCAATTTTCCACAGTGCCAATCACAGTGGCTCCCTCACTTTGCCTTAAATGACTCTGAACCATAATCCGCAACCTTGTAAACATTTGTGACCTGCATTCTCTGCGGACTAAACATCTTGTATACCAGTTCAGCTAAAACTGAAGTGATGTTTTGCAGAATCAAATAACAAGGCATTTTGCCAAGCAACGCTGGAGATTTCTGACTGTAGCCTGTACCTTTCCTTACTTTCGTGCCGTGCTGCTTGACCTATAAAGTTTTTCTGTGGGGCTTATTCTCATGTTTATTAGGCTTGTAGAGTCTGGTGTGGCTTTGTTTTGGTTGGTAAATTTTAAAATCATTTGGGAAAGGGCAGAGAACATAAATGTTTAGCTAATCCATTTAGCTAGAAGCCAGAAGCCCCTGGGTTTGGCTAGAACGTTTAGCTAGGAGCCCCTGAGTGTTTCTGAAAGCAAAATAAACAACTTCACAAAATATTTTAGTGTGAGAACAGAAGAAGCCGCCCCTTTTGTTCCTTGGTGTGTCTGCCGGCTTCGGAAGAAAGTTCCGTCCAGCCAGCCCTAGGGTTTTTCCACAAGATGGGCAATCTGCAATCATGGTGTTATTTCTAGGCTGCCGCCTCTACTGAAGGAAGATGCTGCTCATGTTCTGGGGCTCGGGCTAGCAGCCCAAAAGGGTGCGTACCTTCCAGAACATCTGGTTTGCAAATTGCCGGGGGCCGCCAAGTTCAGTCCCTGACATCTGTTAAAAGGGGCAAGGTGACAAGTAAATGGAAAAGAACTTCTTTCTACTGGAAAACTGCTGCTACTAGTTAAGGGGAGAGGATACACTGGAGAGCAGCGGGAGGGCATGCAGTTTTTGAAAAGCAGCAGGCAAGTCTGCATCTTGTTCTTGCGCCTGTTTATATACATGCAGACACATAGAAATCTGCATACATGTATTGAAAACCTCCTAGGCCTCTTTTGAGGGAGTTCCAACCCTCAGGGTGGAATGCCTGTTGCAAACCAGCCATAAAGCTTATGGCACCAAAACCAACAAAAAGGAATAAACCGAAAGATTTAGAATACTACAATAATTGCAGTGAAGTCTCCATCAAGAGTAATAGTAACTGAACAGAGAATAAAAGAGGGTGGGGAGGCTAGCTGTTCCTCGTGGGGGTTTCCTGCAGTCCTCAGCCAGGTGCCTGCGTCCGGCACCCTTTTGCTCGCCTCTGTTGCTTGCTGCGTCTGGGAGGGGAGCGGAAAAGCACAGTGCCTTCTTGGTGAAGCGCTTGAGGTTGTACACTTCTCGTGGTCTGGGTTCTTTCCACGTTTCTGATGCTGCTTCCCAGCCTGTTCCCAGCCTAGATTCCCGTGTACCTAAGAGGGCAAAGGTGATGGCAGGAATCCATCCTATAAATAATGCAGCAGAAGATGTGGTGCTAAATTTAATCCCGGTCCAGGCAAGCGGGTACAAAACAAGTGTCTGCAGGAATGACCGAGCATTATTTTTGCATTCAGATGTTGGTATAGGACGGGATGTAAAAAATAGCCTAAAATAGCCTTAAAAAAATAGTCTAAATACAAGCTGATAAATAAAAGTCTATGGAGAGTAAAGTGAACTAGTTTTAGTCCCAGATGCGGCCTTTTTGCACTGCTCTGGTAGTATATGCAATAACATAAGTCTGTGAAATGCGATCGCTGGGGGTGGTGTGATATGCCAGATGTTGTGCATGGCCAGGTGACAACTCTGCCATGAAATCTCGCCACATTTCTCGACTTGAAAGGTGTGGGATTGGTCTCCAGCGAGCCTGATACTTTTAATTTAGTTACACATGTACTGGAACACTGGAAAAACGAAGAGGTGGAAGGGATCCTGTGCTTGACTAACAGTTTCCCCTGCCCCCAGGGGGATAAGGGGTTTCATGGCAAGGCAGCCTGCCGAAGGTTCTGGAGGGAAACACGCTGCAGGTTCTGGTGTCGGTGAAGAAGATGCACGCTGCTGAAAACTGCTTCTGCCGGAGCCCCGAAAACGATGGGTTTGTGCAAAAGCAGCCAGTGGGTTGTGGCTGAGAAATCCCTGCTGGATTGTGCCTGGTGGCAGGCCTTGTCCTTTGAAAATGTCGGGCTCTGAATAGCACGGTTGCATTGCTGATATTGTGCTCCCGGAGGCCCACCGCCCGTCCCAGTTTTGCTGAGTTCAAACGCTAGATCCATTATGCTGAACCGAGGCTGTGTAGGATCCAGCACTAAGGAATCAGTGCCTCAAACCCCTTTCCAAAGAACTTGACGAAACCAGATGAGATCTGATTTGTTTCTTTCCCCCGTTTTAGGTGCATCCGCCACAAGAGCGACTGGGGAGCACTCATCTTAGTTGATGACCGTTTTGGAAGGAACCCAAATAAATATATAGCCGGTAAGGCACTTGATTATTCCAGGGAAGCTGGTTGGCAGCTCATGGCCTGTGGCCCATAACGAGCCTGACAGGGCCTTTTCTTTGGCTCACCGTGCTGGTTGGTCGGGGATTTTGCTGCCAGAGCTGCCCAGCGGCCTGGCCGCCCCCCGCTCCAGTCTTGAAATCTGAGTGTTTATTCCTGGTGCCTTGATGTGCCTCCTGCTACCGGCCCAGTAGGCAGGCGGCTGCTCCCCTTTCCTGCCAGACACCCTGTGCGTTGGAGGCAGATCCCAGGTCACTAGGCTGAGATGCTAAGTAGGTACGAGATCAATAGAAAACCGCCGTTCTCGGTCAGGTGAGACCTGTCCAGTATGGAATGCGGTGCGCATGGAGCTTTCCAGCAGCAGCACCTATTCCAGTAGCATTCAGAGCAGAAGGTCCTCCAAAATACTATTTTTATTATTATTATTGGAGTGGTGCCATCGATGAGGCATGGTCCCAGCTGGAGGCGAGGGTGTTCCCAAATCTCGCCCATAGAAAGGGTGCCCCACTCCCTCTACGATGGCATGCAACGGGTGAGCGCCAAAATGAGGCGTGCTCAGGAGAACCCCAGAATTACTTGACAAGTAGACAGACCGTCCCCTGCTATGGGAAGCTGAGGGCCATCTGGGGAAGAGCAGAGGAGCCGGCACCGGAGTGCCTCGGCCCTGTCCCTTCCTGGAAGAGGGCCGGGCCAGCTGGCGTCCCGGACACAAGTTGGGGTGCAGCACGTCCCGCTCAGCCGCACGTGGCCACGTGCAATTCGGCCCGGGTGACTTCCGGATTGGACTCGGGAGTCTTCAGTGTGGCCCCCGTGGGTGCTGGTGTGGCCACAGGGCCAGGCTGAGGCGGCACCCCCCGCCCGACAGCTTTTCACGCCTGTCGAGTGATTCCCTTCAAGCTTCTGTAAAGCACAGGAAAGCGCCTTGGCTGAAAAATGGCTGGAAGAAGACGGCGAGGGGGAAGTTCATTCTTGGGACGACGAGGTGCGTCGGGATCAGAGAGAGAGAGAGGGGAAGGGAGAGGCAGAGGTGCAGGTGGGTGGGAAGGAAGGGAAACTGGTGAGGCTGAGAACCAGGAAGGGAGCAAGAAACCAGAGCGGAGGACGCCTAACGTTTCCGCGATCGCCCCGCTTCTGTCACAGCCCCCATGTGCATTTTCAAAACGCCAGGTGTTGCTTTGGGCCCAGAAAGGTTGGGGACCTCTAAACTATGTGATTTGGGGTTGAGAGAGCAGCTTTGCTGCCGCAGGTATAGATCAAGCAGTTAAAAATGCAGCAACAGGTAAATAAAACATGGCCCTCATGAAATCCTTATGCCAAATAACACAGACATTGTCTCAATTAAGCAACCATCCCAGGCGAAAGCGTTGCTGAGAATGAATTAATAATCTGTTGAGAGTTTCCGAGAAGGCCATACATGGGCCCTGACTGTAATATTAATCATCACTCAGCTTTATTAGCTGCTTTGCTTTACTCGGAATAGGCATGCTAAATATCCCTTTTTTAATTTTTGGAGGGGCATTTTGGTGGGAGAGCAATTACAGCTGAAAAAAAAAACCCACTTGGATTGTGTGATTGTTCACTTTTTAAAAAGAAAAACACACAATTTGGAACAGTTATTTTCCCCATGTAGCATTTGCTTGGTCTTCTTTTCACATTGGCCACTGCGTTGCTCTCTTATCCACGTGGATTTTCCTCATCCCAGCGCACAGTAAATAGGATGAAGTCACAACTTTATGCAACTGCTTGGATTTGGATGTTTGAAGATGTGTCTGAGGATGGTGTAAATGATTTGGCAAGCATTCTCTGAAGTATTTAGAAATGAACCAAAAGTGGGAAGGGATGGTTGAACACTGAAAATATTCTTTAAAAACTGTGAGCGGTTTCAGCCCATCTCTGATCGAGAGGGCCCTCATCAGACAGGATTCCTTTTTGTACATGTGTGGTCATGAATGGTTGATAGGTTAGCCTAATTACACGAAAAACGCTTTTAAAAATCGGCCTCTGAAGGGGTAGGAGAAATGGCGCTCGTCTCCCCTCGCTTTGAAGCAGTCTCAGCCCAGAGAAAGGCTACAGCTGAACCTCCTCTGGTCAGTAGGTGGTGCTCCGTTTCTACCGTTTGCAGTGTTTGCCTTGATCCGACCTGGGGATAAAGCGTAGATGGGAGAACGGTCTTGACTCCAGTTAAAAATCTCGAGGACTGAAGGGTGGCAAGGCTCTCGAGAGAGTTGCTGCCTGTCGCACTGGTTCCCCGTAACACCTTTCTTGTTGCAACGGGGTCGGGCACAGTCACAAAAGCTCCCAGATGAATTACGGCCAAAGGAAACACCGAATGGCATCATGGGAGGAAGCGCTGGGGTGCTCTGTCCTGGGGGTGGGCAGCTTGCAGGCCGCAGTCTCGCCGGACACCAACCTCTGCCAGATCCGGGCAGCACGGCTAGAGGTCAAGGGACGGGAGCAAAAATACAAGCTCATGCGGGGGGGGGGGGGGGGGGTTGCCGGTTCCACACACCTGTCTTAACAGGACAGGTGCTGGAACTGTCCCGAAATAACCAATGCAAAAAATGTGAAGGTCGAGCAGGGAAATGCTTTTTCTCTTCGAAATGTAAAACCACCGTCCTTCTCTCAGGATCAGAAAAGACAAGAGGGACGCTTTATAAAAATACGGCGAAGTGTAAAAAGTATGTATGTGAGTGCCCCCGGTCGGTCTCCACCCCATTTTAATGTTGGCTTCCTGTGGTATAATTGCAGTTTCTAGTATGTGACGCACATGTTTCAGATCTTGTGGGCTCGGATTCTTGAGCCTCGGCAAATGATCCGTGGTTCCCCTAGTAACTTTCTGTACAGTAGTAGCGTGGGGAAATTTTTGCATTCCTTGCCCATCTGCACTTTCTTTTCCAAGGGCTATCGAAATGGATCCGCCAGCAAATCCAGCACCACAAAGACTTTGGTCACGCCCTTGCTTCTTTGGATACGTTTGCCAGAACAAACCAGGAGGCCGCCGGCCTCTCACCTTGGGGCAGTGACAGCGCCGCGCTCAGGCCTCCATGTTCAAAGGCCCCGTCAACAAGTTCTTTCCCGGAGGCGACTCTTCATCTATCGCCAGGTGTTACTGTGGAAAGAGGGACACAAGATTTGGCCCCCGAAACATTTTCTGCCGCAGACGTCATCGCAGTTAGTCCAGCAACATCCAGTAAGTCTTGGGACATGTTCCCACAGGGAAGGAGTTGGGCTTCCTGAGAATCCTCTTGGCAAAAGCTAAAGCCCTTCCTCAACCTTCTGAAATATTGTCAGGGGTCATGTTGATTTAATATTCATGTTGATTTAATTTTCTGTGCGAATCAGCCGGAGAGCATGGGAATTGCTGTGATGGACTAGGAGTTGGGAGATCAAGGTTCTAGTCCCCACCCCACTGTGACGCTCACTTTGCACCAGTCGCTGCCTTTCAGCCTTGCAGGGTTGTTGTGAAGATAAAACAGTGCGCAGGGGGGAGCCCTTGTAAGGCTGTCTTGGGTTCCTTTGCAGGAGAAAGGCGGGGATATAAATATAACATAACAGTAAAGGGGGCTAAAGTGGTTGATGCTGGGATCACACTGTTTGTACATCCAATTGAGGAGGCAATGCACTTGAGGCCATTTTTTTTTATCCTAACCGGAAATTTGCGGGTTCTGAACTCATGGTTACTGGGCATGTTCAGCCTTGAGAAGTGAAGACTATGGGGGGACACGATATCCCTTTAGAAGGACCTCCAAGGCTGTCACAAAGAGGAAGGTCGAGATCTCTTCTTGCTGATGCCAGAGTGCAGGACACGGAAGAATCAGTTCAATTTGCAACAACCCAGATTCAGGCTGGACATCGGGAAAAACTTCCTCACTGTCGGAGCAATGCAGCAGTGGAACCAGCCGCCTGGAGAGCTGGTGGGCTCTGCCACACTGGAGACATTCAGGGAGAAACTGGGCAGCCCCCTGAGTGGGACGCTGTAACGTGGCGTCATGCAACAGCAGGGGGCTGGACTTGATGGCCTTCATGGCCCCTTCCAGCTCTACTATGAAGAAAGAGGCTTGGGATGGTGGTGGGCACTTCACTCAAAAGGGTGCCCCTGGGTGCAGCTGCTGGGAGAAAAGGCTGATTCCACGTGAGGCATAATTAGGGAAGGGTTGGGAAATAAAACTGCCAAGCTGATCCCATCCCCCGAGGTGGGGTCGCTGGTTGGGCTCAGGAGGGGCAGAGCGCCGCACTGGATGGGGCCTCGGTCTGATCCAGGACAGCCCTCCTTACATTCTTCTGCGTCCGACCAGCAGGGATCCTTCTTTATGTCTTGGGCACAAAGAAGCTTTTCTCATAACCTGCTGTCTGATCTTTCCAACTGGAGATGGTGGGGGCTGAACACGGGTGTTGCAAATGCATCGCAGATGTTCCGCTGCTGAGCTGTGGTCTCCCCCCGGGCGTGTGGGATGCAGCCCTGTGTGGGATCAGCGGATTTGGCCAACTGGCTCCGTAGTGTCTCCCCCGACTGGAGGTCGCTTCCCGGCTTCTCCGGCAGAGGCAACGCTCGCCACCCCCTGCTCCCTCGGCCACGCTGGAGACTTCGCGCCTGGGGCCTTCAGCATGCCGGGCGCTTGCCCGGTCGTGGCAGCCATCTCCCAGAAAGTGCCGTGGGTGGAGCTGGGCGGTGTGGGCTTGAAGCACCAGTGTCCGGAGCCCCGTAGTTCCCCTTTGCTGCATCTCCTGTCCCTGAAGCCCTTCGGGAAAGTGGTCCTGAATTACTTCCGGTGCAGAATGAGGTGCAGCTATTTAAAAAGTGCGTGTGCATGTGTGTGGATGCACTTGGCCGCACACGCACGTGCGTGCGCGCACACAAACACGGAGACAGACAGACAACGGGGTCTTTGTCCTTGAGTCAAAAGAAGAGATTCAGCACCTCTTGGCAAAGTGTCACATGGCTCAGCAGCCTTCCCCACCCACACTATATGCCATTAACAAGGGCAAACATGTTATTGTCCATCAATCAGTCCAGTTACTTGGAAACTGATACAGTGGCCCATAGACGCTGGAGTTGCTTTGGTTGGGGGAGTCATTCAGCCAGGCTGTCTTCAGTTCCGTGGACGCTCAAGTGAAAGTTTTATGTAGTACTTAATCTTCTGCTAGCCGCTTGGGCGGAGCCGGGTTGAGTCAAGGGCCCTTGAACCAGAGAGCGTCTCGCTTTGACCCTCTAGTCCTAAATGCATTTCTGGCCCTTCTGTGGGAATGAGCTGCACAGAATAGGTATGTGAGCGGATGTCACACAGAGGTGGGTGGAGACCTGTGCTCCTCTGCTGAGGAAGGCAGGATGCGTGCGCTCCAATGGAGCAAAGCGCAGGGTACCAAGATTTAGGGTGGAGGCAAGGAAGCACTTCCTGACTGATAGGACCCTGAGGGTATGGAATGGGCTTCCACAGGAGGTGGTTGAAGCCCCATCGGTGAGGATCCTAAAAGTAGGATTTTTTATCTAGACGACTCTACAGACAAAACAGTATATTCCAATGCATAAATCGTAAGAATATGTATACTATCAAATTCTGCGTCTATTGTTCATTATTTTACAGATCTTCAGCTATCTTCCCCGAAAATAAAGCAAGAAAATCTTGCCGATTCCAAACCTAAAAAAGCCACCACCGAAGACAAGAGGGAGAAAGCAAAAAGCCGGCTTGCTTCCAGCAGTATAAAACAGTATTTCGACAAAGCATTGACTTCACCACCTCTGCCTTCCCCAAGCAAGAAAGATGCTTCCAGACAGAAAAGGCAACCAGGAGAAGCAGTGGCTGAAACTGGCGAGAGCCTTCCGAAAGGGTCCCAGGAGGATGGGTCGTCGGTTGAGGAAGACAAGCCAACTGGACCGGTGCCACATAGGGAAACGATTAGCTACCCTCATGGAAAAGCCATCAGCTCAGCCATTCAGGAATATCCAGCCGAGCAACAGTCCCGTGCTCAAGAAGACGGCGGGAATGTGACATTTTCTCCAGCGAAAGGAAACACAGAACTTCCAACGTCGTTTGCAGCGGCAGAAACAGATGCCGGCGATGACAGTATCTATTACACACCTGAACTTTATGACAGTGTTGAGTCAGTGGAACAGAAAAACAAGTCACCGACTCACACCCGCTGCAGCCCTGGGACTTGGTTTGAAGCGGCCGCGGCTGGAGAGCTTTATGAAACCCGCACTCTGAGCCTGGGAGACACAGCGCGCGAGATCAACGTGGATGCGGAAGCGAGTGCAGGGTGGCGTGGAATTGTGCAGGGTGGCGAGGATAATGAAGGTGCAGGCAGAGCACCTGGACCTGGCAGCGGCAAAGGTGACTTTGCGCAGGGAACGAAGGAAAAGAGCAGCAAGCTTTTCAGATCACGAAGCAAAGGTGTCTTTCAGCTCAGTGGCCAGTGAATCACAGAATTAGGTTGTTGGTCTGGCAGGCTTGGGAAGAAATCATGGGGCTTAGTTTGGGCTCGGGATGCAGTCAGTTAATTGGGTTTTGGTAAACCGAGCCATGAGAGCAATAGCGAACCGTGTACTCAAGTGGGGGGAAAGTCCCCACAGGACCAGAGCTGAACTTCATGGCCAAAAGACAAGCCATTCTGTCTCTACCTCCTCCTCCCTGCTGCAACGTTCAGTAGCACAAAATACGACTCTTCACGTCTTGTGGCTCCATGCCCTGGCAGCACAGCCTGGCCGGCCGTTTGCTGTGCGTTTCCGCTACAACGTGTTGGAGGGGCACAAGCTGGAGGCAGGGCCGTGGCGTTTGGTCACGGCATGCAGATCCAGGGCAAGGCGGCCATGTGGCGCCGTTCATGGGTGGTCTGTCCAGGGGAAATAAGCTCACACGTGCCCTTCCCCTTCCACAGGGGAAATTGAACGAATTATTCTCACACATTTCTTCGATGGCATGATCTTACTGGCCGATCCCTAGAGAGAACTTGGGTTTGAAGTCGTCAGGAAGATCGCTTCAGATACACCTGCCCCATTCATTCCTTGGTTTCTTCCTGTGACAAAGAGGTTAAGTTCACAGGAGTGTTGAGAAGGATTGGCGGGGTCTTTCCTGGAAGGGAGCACGGGACTAGGCCATGGGGTATTCGAAGTGGTCCAGTGTGGGACTGGCTTGGCAGACACCGGCGTTCGGGGGCCGGTCAGAAAGCCAGGTGAGCAGCCCAAGTCTGGGTAGCCTTTTTGGCAACCCGATTTCATGCAGCCCCCCCACCCCACCCCACTCCGGCACGGTAACTTCAGAAGTTGCCGCGAGATGAGAAGAACGCCTTGTTTTTAATGCATGAAGGTGCCCACAAAAGCCACCCTTTCTGTTTTATCAGTGTTGTCCTGAATCGTCCACTGGACAGGTCAGAACATGGGAGTAAAAGTTGATTGATTCTGCCAGTTACAGGACCTTTAAAGCGAGCACATTGTGAAGGGGGACTGAGATGAAACCTTGATGGTGCTTCCATTTTTGTTAGAAAGCAATACTGTGGGACCACAGGAGTGAGCTTTCCATACCAAATATGGAAAACCCTTTATTTTCTCAGGGAACGGTGACCTAATCAGAGATCCCGGGCAGAGAATTGCAGTTGTTCAAATATTTTTGTCTTTCCACTTAGATTTTTTTTTCTGTAGGTTAAGGTGGTCCTTATGATAAGACACATACCAGCACAAAACCAGAGTGCCTAGATTTTACTTTCCCAGTTTTTCCCTTTTATGAGAATATTTCTCCTGAATGGAATCATATAGAATATTTTAGAGGAAGCAGTGAAGCTAATGTATTGATTTTAGAACTTTGTTATATCTAGATATGTCAGTTTACAAGTAACTTAGCGTCAGCAATATTCTTCCAAACTCTTGTTACAGTGCTACCCACTTTTTGATTAGGTTTTTCACTAGTAAGCCATAAAACTTCTATTGCTTTAGCCAAGTACTTCTTTTCTGAATCTTGATCAAATAAATTGATTCACAAATATGGGAAGTGACCAGTTATATTTATTATCTTCCATTTGCCTTATAAAATCAGACATGAATGCTGTTTTGTTAAAAATTAGAACTAAGTTGTCTGGAAAGGTAGAAATGTGATAATCAGAGCAAACATGTCAAAGTCTGAGTCACTGAATCTCAGTCACACAGACCACAAAATAATTACTGAATCCTGAATTTCTTGAAGGGCTGAAAGTGCAGCGAACGTATAAACGAAGAATCAGGAAATCATCTAGTAAGGGAGGTGGCCACACAAATGACAGGTAAATTTGAAAAAAACTTCATAGATTTAAGTAACTTTATGCTCTTGGTGGTAGTTTTGATTATCCTGTGGGATTAATGAAACATGATACTGTTCTTGTCCCAGGTCAAATTGTATTAATTCCAGAACTCGGGAGGAGAGCAGTCCTGGTGCCCCTAGATACCATCTTGGAGGCATAGGATAATTTGAGTTTTGAGGTGCAAGGCCAGGAACAGTGTTCCAGGCACTAAATAGGCTGACTGTTCCCCAAATGTCCAATTTTGCCCACAAATGGTAAGCTCTTTGTACCCACCAAAGGGGGAAAAGAGGCAGTGCTTTTTGGCTGTTGTACATCAAGTATCTAACATCTGTGTAAGAGAGGGAGGGCCGTGGTTCCGTGGCAGAGCACCTGGCTTGCGTACAGAAAGTGCACAGTTCAGTGTCTGGCGTCTTTCTGGTGGGGCTGGGAGGATTCCTGGAGAGCTGTCAGGTTCAACCATAGTTGGCTAGATGTAAAGCCGCTTGTTATGTTCCTGAGACAATCCAGGAACGAGAGCAAGAAGGGAGTGTTGGTTGATGGGACTGGGAATTTCCAAAATAAGGAATGGGGAGCTTGCCTGCAAGACTGAAATTTCCGAGCAGTGACCTTTCCTTTAGCTGCAGCACTCTCTCCGATTTATATAGATCTTAATAGGTCAAGATCCGCACCTCTTCTGCTCATTCAAACATTGAATGGCTGGGCGCAAGATGTGCCCTGCTGTATAACGTATATGAGCCGAGCGAGTCCTTTATTTTAATTGGGTGCATGTTTTTATAACCAATGGATGTTAAGTTTTCAGGAAATAAAATATTGATCCAAATGGGGCTTGTGTTTTTAGAACAATGACTAATTTATTTCTTTTGACACTTTTGATTGTCCTTAGCGTGCTAAGTGATGAGGGACCGATAGGTTCTCTCTTCAAATAATTATTACACTTGTGTGTGTTTAGACACTTTAGCTTTTAATATGCTAGTTTATATCTCTGTTACTCCTTCAGCAAGTGCTGTGTGACCCAACTTGGCAAGCCAGGGCAGAGTTGTATTTTTTGCAGAGCTGAGAAATGCTGCCTAAAGCAGCATCATACAAATGATCTTTCAGTGTGTTATTGTATGCAGCTTGTTCCTGATAGTTGCACCCGAGAGATTGGTCATGTCTAGTATTGTAAACCGCTTTCAAAGCCCTGGGTCCCCCTAATATTCCAAAAGAGATTTGCCACGTATCTGTGTTCGAGTGACGCCTGCTTGGACCCCAGTAGCTACTGGTTGTACAGTTCTTTTGATTAATTAAGAAGGCAAGACCTTGCATATAGCACATAAGATGTACACCCAGGGTCCAGGTTGCCCTGGTGTTTTGCTTCCTCTCTAAATCTTGTTAAAAAAAAAAAAAAAGCAGTGTTTCCAAATTAGCAATCACAGGCTGAAGATGAGTCAGCAGTGTGACATGGCTGCAAAATAGCAAATGTAATTCCAGGTCGTGTCAATAGAAGCAGAGTTTCAGAGTTGTGCAAAGCAGTAGCTTCCCTTCTAGCTTGTTCTGGTCAAGTTTCACCTTGAATACTCTGACCAGTTCTGGATATCGCAGTTTAGAGAGAAATCAGATAAACTGGAATGTGTTCAGAGAAGGGTAACAAAGATAATCATGGTACAAGAAACCAGGTCCTGCCAGGAAAGACTGTGGGAAGAGGGTCTGTTTAGCCCTTGAGAAGACATGACTGAAGGGAGCTAGGACAGCCCTTCTCCAGCAACCTTAAACGTCCACAGGAAGGGGCCGCAGCCTGTTTGCAATTATCCAAGACTATGCTATGCTAGGCATAAGTCACAGGAAGAACAGTCGTAGCTGAACACCAAGAAAAATTTCATAATTTATCAGAGATAATTTGATTAAAACATTTCTATGCCATCCTTTGCAAGAAGCCTCGTTTATCATAAGTTATCGGAGGATGGAACTGATGGCCTAGGGAGGTTTAGGTCTGCCATCACTAGAAGCCCCCAAGTAAGGCCTGGGCACCCACTGCTCTGTCAGGGGTACTTTAATCTGGATTCCTGCACTGAGCTGGGAGTTGGGCTTGATGGCCTACATGGCCCCTTCCGACTCTCACAGTTCTAATTCTCTATATGCTCTGACTTTGTAATTCCAGAAATATTGGGAGAATCCTCCACTAATAGTGCAGGAATGAAAATTGCCCAGGAGTGCTCCCGAAAGGCCGGCCCAGGGGCTGCTGGATCTTTTAAGGGCTGCACCTGTGAATTGTCTGTTTGCGGAAGATGATGACAGAGTGGTGAACGTTACGGATAAAGCATGCCGTGCGCATCTAAAGGATCTTTTGACAGTTTATCAGCCGGCAGTGAAATCCGAAGGTAAAAGAATCCCTGAGGGTATTTCCCAAGCTCAAACTTTGGCTGGGATCCCAAAAACCTGTGCATGTCCAAGGCCCAGTGGGATTTTCACGGAACGGTTTTTGGAGCTCTTCTCAGGAAGCTGCTGTGAGTCTTCGGGGTGGGGTGGGGTGGGGGGTGCTTCTCTCCAAGAAATGAAGGTCCGGCATGCATAGAATTAATTGGGTGGGTCTTTGGGTCTGTTATCTGCAGACGGACTCCCTGGACTCTGCAGCACGGTGCCTGCCTGGGAGGCTCCCACCCCTCCTGTTTTTTATTTCATTTAAATTTTTATTTTAACTGAATTCTAATTGGGAGGCTCGCGTGTCGCAAGGCCCTGCCCTCCCTCGCCCTCTTCGGTGGGTTCAGAGGAGTAGATCTCTGAAGCTCAGCCTCCACCTCTGCCTTGTGCTTAGGTCCTGAGGCAAGACATTTTCCTCTGAGTCTCCCCAGTTCGTCTTCTGAGAAATGCGTGCTTGTGGCTGCTCGTGCCCTCTGTAAAATTTGAAATGGGGCCACTGGCTCAGAAAGGTTGGGGACCCCAGTGGTGCACAGATAAATGCGAGACACCAAGGGCTAGGCTTACGGGGAGTGTCTTGGGGCATCGATTTTACAAAACCAAGTTAAGACGTAAAGGGAGTACTTCCCCCCTCCTGGCCATTATATGATACCTGCGTTTGAACAGGACCTTTTCTTCTAAGGCATTCAAGGCAACGCAACGAGTCCGCGACGGGTGGGAGAGGGCTAGGCTGAGAGCAACGGACGAAGTCAGGCTCAGCCAAGGTGCTGCAGGGCAGGACTGAAATTTGGACCTGGGTTTTCCCCCTCCTTCGCCTGGTGCTCGAACTGCCACCCCACCCTGGCTCTTTGGAATGTAGATCTCTCCCACAGAAAAGGTGGGAGCGCCAACATTCTTACCTGGCTCGTGCCCCATCCTCTCCCTTTCCTTCCCCATCCCTCCCTCGAACATAGAGTAGCGTGTCTGCACAGGCGTCTCCTTTCAGCCTTCTCTGTCTGTTGGAATCGTGTTCAGTCCTCTATTTTCCGTTTCCACAAATTGTTCCACCGTGCGAAAGGCAATCTGGTAGCCTTTTGCGAAAGACAATGTGGGGCGCTTCCCAGCCCCAGTCGGTGTCCTCTTTCTAAAGGCTTGGATGGAAGTCTTGTCTTAGTTACGCGATCTGGAAGAGGGACAAGCAAGCTTTCAACAGAGATGGGCGGATGCCAGAACTAGGTTGAACGGCCACCTTCTCTGCATCATCCGTTTGGATCTGAAAGCACGGATCTTGACAGCGGCACCCAGTCATGCGGGCGAGTCAAACGTATCGTGTGCGTTCAAAGCTAGAAGAGGTAGACTTTTTGGTTCGTGCAACCAAGGCATGCGTACTCCATAGGCACTGGGCGGCCACCTGGGTGGGATGCTGTGAATGGGTGTCCTGCAGCAGCAGGGGGTTGGACCCGATGGCCTTCAGGGGTCCTTCCGACTCGACTAGTCTGTGTTTCTATTTATTAATTTTATTTAAGACTTTTATGTGCCCTCCTATATGTGAGACATCTCAGGACGGTTCACAATATTAATTTTACGACAGTCAAGTAGGCCTCGCATTTCTTAGGGGGGCCCTCCTTCCTGGCCTCCCTCCCTCTACGGTCAGCCACGATTGATATTTTCATACTTTAAAGGGCCGGTGACTGATTAGTGTTGAAACGCTGAGTAGATCTCCAGAATGGCCCATTTCTTGCCACGTCAGGCTTCCCGCGTCTTACCAAGCATCTGCTGGGGAGGTTAATCTTTGTGTCCTGGTGGCGGCGACCGGTGGGAGTCCATAAGGGGAATGCATGTCGCCACACCTAGACGGCGTAAATCCTTGCTTCAGGAGATGTTTTCGATCCACGCGCACCACTGCCTTCCCATGATCCTTTTCGTTTTGGCAAGCACCTGACTTTCTCAATGGAGGGACATTTATGGCTGCCCCTTGGTTTCGCTTCCCCCCGCCCCCGTTTTACTGTGGTTATTTTGTTCTTGATTCTTCATTTCTGTCAGGTTTCGTTCTTTGTCACGCTGTTGGAACTCGGAGTACTGCAGATGCTATGAAAGTTTGGGTATGTACGTTTCATAAATCAAAGGTGTTTTGTTGAGTAAATCAAAGGCATCCATGCATCTCTTTAGGATGCAGTGTGCTCTTACTGGCTGCTTGTTTTGGAAATAATACTTTCGGTATGACCAAACAGACAGCGTAAACGCCTCACCAAACATTTGCTGCTTGGTGCCCTTGGCTCCTGCTAAATCTCAGGGCCAATTTTCCCCTTCTTTTCCACGTTCTGGTAAAGGTGCA